CTCGGATGAATTTCACGAAAAAGCACTCTTCTTCTCGCGCGAACACAAGGGGAAACGAGCAGCATGCCCGAGTTTCTTCCTCTTCTCTTTCCCTTTCGACTTTCTTTCCTCTCGGATCGCGTCTTCTTCCGCCACGTTTACTATTAGCTGACGCAGCTTCCGTACGTTCTGCGCTGAACCGGCACATCTTCCGTGAATAGGTAAATTTCGGTGAATTTTCTTTCCATCGATGTACATTTCTTTTTTTTTTAATAGACGAATTTCTTGGCAATTTTTTTTTTTTTTTTTAGATCACGCTCTTTTTAGAACGTGAGCAAAAGATTGGGAACGTTCCGTGGTTTCTAGTAAATAAAAGAGATTTCATTGATATGTTGGTCAGACGTTTTCGTTCTTCGACGATTAAAAAAGCCTAGCTATCGAATCGCGAACACAGCTCGTTCATCACACGGTATATCGATTTCTTCGGTAACGATGGATATATTAGCAGCGGCGGTAAGGATTGTTGAGGATTAATAGTCCACAATGGTTTTTTGCTGTTATGCAATGGACGTTACACCTCCTTTCGCTACATGCTTTCTAGACACACCATTACATGATTTTTCGAAATAAAACGAGGCATCGTTCTTGCACGAAATTCCAACGAATCTTGATAAGATACGGTCAAAGAGAAGGTCATCGTGCCTTGTTTGAAGACGTTTGCGTTAAAAGCAAAACTGTTCGCGGCTTATGTAATCAAGATTTGCTCCGTCGAATTCTTCGGCCTCTCTTTGTCGCCGATACCGATCTCAGGCAATTGAAAATCAAATACCAAGCGAAATCGAATAACCCTTCTTCTTTTTTCTTTACTTTATTAACGTACGACTTATTCTCTCCATTTTTCTTTCTCGTCTCGCGGACAATCGAACCACCTGAACGTTCACCGGCACTGTCTGTTCTGCAGGTTGCACGACGCGTTGACGATTTTCCTTCACCTTCTCCTTGCTCTGTAAACAATCCCCGTGCCCGGTACACGCGCACACGATCATCGATTATCGGAACTTGGCCGACTACGTCGCGGATCATTCTACTCGCCCGATAACTCGCGTCACCTACTACTGCACTCGCAGAGCATTGCTCGAACGTAGGCGCCGCACGTGGGTGCGCATTTTTGTCACCGATGCTGAACGATTAGTCGACAATGAG